CAGCCTCCGCCTCTCAGGCTCAAGTGATCCTCCCACCTCAGCCTCAGGGGTAGCTGGGATTACAGGCGTCTGCTACCAAACCCGGCTAATTCTTGTATTTTTTGTAGAGACAGGGTTGCGTCATGTTGCCCAGGCTGGCCTCAAACTCCTGAGCTCAAGCCATCTACCCTCCATGGACTCCCAAAGTGCTGGGGTTATAGGCGTGAGCCACTGCACCCAGCCTGGACCTCATCCTTGAACCCCTAATCTCACCTTGATCCTGGAACCCACACTTCAGACTCCACCTTTATCCTCATCCCCCAGGATCTGCCTGACCCTGTCATTTTGACCCTAGCTCTTTTCTCCACCTGGGGACAAGGCACAGCCTGGGGCCACAGGGCTGTCAGGGAAGGTTGGGAGCCTGACGAGACCCTCCAGCCTGGTCCTGTCCCCCCAGGGATCTCTCCACATGTGGATTGACATCTTTCCTCGAGATGTGCCTGCCCCACCCCCAGTTGACATCAAGCCTCGGCAGCCGGTCAGGTGAGAGTTCTGTCGCCTCCTCCCAAGGCGGATACACGTCTTGGTCTACCTGTACAAGGGTCCTCTGAAAACCTGGGTCCCCAGTGAAGCAGGCAGAGGCTGCTAATCACAGGCTGTCCAGTAGGTGCCATTAAATTCCCTTTTATTCATAAGCCATTGCAAGTTGAGTGTCTCTTGTAAACTGACTCCAAGTACCTTTTGGTAAGCCCCCTTCCCACCTGAGCTCATCTGAGTGGAGTTCTGTGTGGGGCACAGCCACGTCACACAGGCTGAATGCAGATGCTCGGATACCAGCAGCCTGTCACTTTCTGCCTCTGGGCTCTGCTTTCCTTGGTGTCACTCTCAGGGAGCCCACTGCAGTCTGGGGGCAAGGTGGCATCTAACAGTGTGAGGCTTACATCTTTTTTTTTTTTTTTTTGAGACGGAGTCTCGCTCAGTCGCCCAGGCTGGAGTGCAGTGGCCGGATCTCAGCTCACTGCAAGCTCCGCCTCCCGGGTTCACGCCATTCTCCTGCCTCAGCCTCCCGAGTAGCTGGGACTACAGGTGCCTGCCACCTCGCCCGGCTAGTTTTTTGTATTTTTTAGTAGAGACGGGGTTCCACCGTGTCAGCCAGGATGGTCTCGGTCTCCTGACCTCGTGATCCGCCCGTCTCGGCCTCCCAAAGGAGGCTTACATCTTAGCCAGGCCACCTGAGCGGAAACAAACACCTCTTTCCCACTTACAGCAAAAGCCTCAGGGCTGACTCAGTAGACCAGCTTGGGTCAAATGCTGTGCCCTGAACCAATCATTGTGGCCAGGGGGCTGTAATACTGGAATCGGCCAGTCCAGGGATGTCTCCCTGACCCTGCCCAGCCAGGGAGGGAGGGGCCTGCCCCACCAGAATCCCATAGATTGACCGTGGTGGTGGGGAGGGGTGGTTGGGGCGGGGGCGGGTCACCAGCAGAAAATCATGGTGCTGTCAACAAATGAGGGGAAGTTGATGCTGGGCTAGAGAAAACAGCTACCCAGGCAACCCCATGGCAGCCAAGGACAGGGCTACATGAGGGTAGGGTCCAGAGTGTCACAGCCCTCCTGTCCCTCAGGCACTGTACGCTCACTCTCGTCCCCCGTCTCTCATCCTCCCTCTTCTCCCTGCAGACTGGCTTTCTCTGTTCACTCACTTTTCTACATCCCCAAACTCTGGCTTGTAGTGGCTCCAGCTCTGCATCTGATGCCACACCATGCAGTGGTACAGGGTCCTGATTCCAAATTCACAGGAAGGAGAACCTTGCTGGCCCAGCAGACCATTCCTGATGTCATCTGCTGTGGCCAGGGTGGTCAGTGACACCTGGGGCTGTCCCTTCATGGGACCACAGGCATTGGATTCCCCTGCTGGGCACACAGGTGCCCAGTGACTGTCAGTGGGCCAGGCCCAGGTCCCTCCTGTTTCCTGCAGCCTCTTTCAGGGCCCCGCTCGAGAGTCTGAAGCCACCCCCTAATGTGCCCCGCAGCTATGAGCTCAGAGTTGTCATCTGGAACACGGAAGATGTGGTTCTGGATGACGTGAATCCACTCACCGGAGAGATGTCGAGTGACATCTATGTGAAGAGGTAGACTGCAGGCCAGGTGGGGCAATGGCAGTGCACTAAGGGGGGACTGTAAATGGGTGTGGGCCCTCGGACTGACTCCAGAGCCCGGTCCCCAGGCCCTCCGTGGTGCTGAGAGCTGGGTGAGGAGTGGGTTCTCCGTGTAGCTCCAGCCCTGACACTCACCCAACCCGGCCCCAGCTGGGTGAAGGGGCTGGAGCATGACAAGCAGGAGACAGATGTTCACTTCAACTCCCTGACTGGGGAGGGGAACTTCAATTGGCGCTTTGTGTTCCGCTTCGACTACCTGCCCACGGAGCGGGAGGTAAGCGTCCGTCGCCGGCCTGGACCCTTCGCCTTGGAGGAGGCCGAGTTTCGGCAGCCCGCAGTGCTGGTCCTGCAGGTCTGGGACTATGACCGCATCTCCGCCAACGACTTCCTTGGTATTGCACTGCTTAGCCTTCCCCACCCTCAGCCCCTGCCTCCAGCCCTCACCTCTGTCCCCTGGTTCCCTACTCTGACCCAATCTTCAATCAGGATTTTGGACCCGAGGTCTGAAACCTTTGCTTTCTGGCCTAATTACTGAGTTAATTGAGCCCAGACCACAGTAACCTCCATTCCCACCAAGTCTCTGATTCAACTCTGATTTGACCCTAGCTTGTCACCCTGACACTGACTCCACAGCCTCTGCTCCTTGACACTCTGCTCCCAACCCTTGGCCCTCTTCCACTGGGGAGTGGCAATGGGTAGACCGCTGGGCTGTGGTTTGGGTGGTCCATAACTGTGGCCTGACCACACACTGCAACTTTCAGATGCCCCAACTTACAACCTTGGTGTGTTGCCTCCTCACCCCTGGCACAGTGAGACTTTGATCCCATGCCTAACCCGGTGTGCTCTGGACTTGCAGGATCCCTGGAGTTGCAGCTACCGGACATGGTGCGTGGGGCCCGGGGCCCCGAGCTCTGCTCTGTGCGGCTGGCCCGTGATGGGGCCGGGCCGAGATGCAATCTGTTTCGCTGCCGCCGCCTGCGAGGCTGGTGGCCGGTAGTGAAGCTGAAGGAGGCAGAGGACGTGGAGCGGGAGGCTCAGGAGGCTCAGGCCAGCAAGAAGCAGCGAAAGCAGAGGAGGAGGAAGGGCCGGCCAGAAGACCTGGAGTTCACAGACACGGGTGGCAACGTGTACATCCTCACGGTGGGTGCCCGTGGCGGAGGCCAGGCTGAGCTGGGGCCTGAGCCGGCCCTGTGCTCCCAGTGACGCAGGAGTGTCTTTTTTAGGGCAAGGTAGAGGCAGAGTTTGAGCTGCTGACCGTGGAGGAGGCTGAGAAACGGCCGGTGGGGAAGGGGCGGAAGGAGCCAGAGCCTCTGGAGAAACCCAGGTGAGTCAGGCACGGGGGCCGGGGCCACAGCCTGGGCCGATGGGGGAGATGGGGGTGCCCAAGGGGCCACCTTCTCATCCTGACACCACCCTTCTCCTCAACAGCCGCCCCAAAACTTCCTTCAACTGGTTTGTGAACCCGCTGAAGACCTTTGTCTTCTTCATCTGGCGCCGGTACTGGCGCATCCTGGTGCTGCTGCTGCTACTGGCGCTGCTCACCGTCTTCCTCCTCCTGGTCTTCTACACCATCCCTGGCCAGATCAGCCAGGTCATCTTCCGTCCCCTCCACAAGTGACTCTCGCTGACCTTGGACACTCACCCAGGGTGCCACCCCTTCAACGCCTGCTCCTGGAAGTCTTTCTTGCCAACATGAGCTACCCGAGAGTCCAGCGCTTCCTCTGAATAAACCTATCACAGCCACTGACCCGTGGTCACGTGCTGTCCAAGGCTGGCGCTCCAGGTGGCAGAGAACAGATGTTCTTGGGTGGCTCAGGTGCTGGGGGCTTACTTGGAGAATGCACAGGGATAGAAGGCTGCCCCCATCCCCACTGCAGGGAAGAAAAGGGCCCCGGCAGCTGAGTTATGACCCCCTCTGAGCAGCTCCACCACGGCTCCTGCTCCTGCTGGCGGCCAGGTCCCTCTCACCTCACCTGTTTCTGGCTTCCACTGCTCCAGGACAGCAAAGGACCTGACAGACTCCATTAACCTGTCCATTCCTCACCATCCCTGAGAGAGGCTTCCATCAGAGCTGGATCTCGGGTCTGACTCCAGAGGTTCTGCTGTCACTACCTGACTTCGCTTCCTTTCCCCTTTCTCTTGCTTTTCCCCTGCCACAGTCTTAGATCAACATTCGAGGTATGATCTGATAAACTGGTTGTTTAGGTACCCCTACCTCCCTGGGCCATAGACTGGTGAGGTCGCTGGGCCCTGCTTCTCCACATGTAGCCAGAGTTCTAACGAGAAACCCTGATTAGGCCCCAAGCCAGGGGTCTGGTGCTGGCCCTGCTCCAGAATGGCCACTGCTACCTTCCCACCTTCCCACCTTGATGTTCAGTTTTGCTTCCACCTAGGAGACCGCAAAGGACCTGGAGGGACTCCTCACTGCAGTGAGAGCCAGCGCGGGCGGGGTTTGGCACAGAGTGGGATCAGTGAGTGTGACAGGATCAGGTGCACTGAGCCCAGGGTGGTGGAGAGCGACCCCAGCTTTACCCATCAATGAAGTGGCAAGCCCCGATCTGTACCCAGGGCCCTGAATTAGTGGCCTGGGAGCCATGGTGGCTCCAGGAAGCTCACGCTAAAAAGGTCCAAGTGAGCCCTGGGGCTGAACCCGAGAGGTCTGAGGACCACAGTGGAGGGAGGGCCCCAGGGCTGTGGGCTGGACATGAGTCTGGTTTGAATAAACCCCAGTCAGTCAACTAGGAGATGCCCATGTGGGGGCTCCTGAGGGCTCTGGGCCCCAATCCATCAGTCACGATTGCCTTCAATGAGTGGCCAGGATGAGGCTCTAGCCATGGCAAGGATCACACGGAGACCAGTGAGTACTATCACAATCAATAGATTTATCAACCTGGGGCTGGGGCTGACTGAGGAGGTGGAGGGTGGCGGAGGCTGGGGGACAACCACAAGCCAGGGAGAGACAGGAGACAGAGGAAGCGCTGAGGGGTGACTACGTTGTCTTCCCTAGATCAATTTTCTTCTGAATGGCTCGTGCTGAGTGGTAGATGAGTGAATCGATGAGTCCAGCCACTGGGAGAGAGACAAGGGCTGGCACTGGCCCAGTGGGGGCCTTGGCTTTTGACGCTGAGAGCCTTGTCACTTAACTGGCCAGGCCAGCATCTGCCCCTTCACCCCCAACCAAACCTGGGGCACCCAGGCTTTACTCTCCCCACCCTACAGCTCACAGACACCCTGGGCCTCTTACCTGTGAACATGCCCCCAATGATGGCGCACACGCCTGTCAGGAAGTGGGTGAAGGACCTGGTAGAGGGAGCGGGTGGGCTCAGCAGGCACACTCCTCCCTCAGGCTCAGGCCCCCAGAGGCCGCTCTGCCCCTGCCCTCACCTGTGCTTCTCTGTCAGCTTCACCATCATCGGCGAGAGCTCATAGAGGACGAAGACTCCGGGAAGGCCCTGGTCGCCCAACAGCCCATTGGCGACCTTCTCATGTCTGGTCACAGAGAACTGATTTGTCCTCAGCACCTGGGGTGGGAGGGGAGCCTAGGCCAGGGCTAGGGCTAGGACCTGGCTTCAGCCACCATCAGCCCCACCCCTGCTCCTTCCCCTTTCCTGCTGAGCCTTGACCGTGCGGGGAGAAAACATGACACTGTGCTGGTGGCCTGCACTGCAAGGCCTGGCCTGCCAGACCCCCTCTCCTAGCCTTGGCCTCAGCCTTCCCCTCCAGATGCCAGTTCTTTACAGTTTACCTATCCTGGCAGCATTTAGTGGGTGTTCTCACAGGGGTCCAGGCTGAGAAGCAACTCTCCAAAGACGCACCACCAAGGCTGAACTGACTTCCTCTGCCCTCAGTCCCTTGCATCCTGCCACTCTGCTGAGATGCTGCTCCACAGGCCACGGCAGCCTCGGGAACGGGTACACAGAGGCTTGCCCTGCCTAACCCCCAGCCCAGGTAGACCACAGGGGACAGTGAGGCAGGCAGATGATGGGCACCAGAGGAACAGATGGAGGCGGTGAGGACAGCGCAAAGAGCAGACGCTTTGAATCGGACAGCCCCAGGCCTGCACTCTGCTGGGAGGGCAAATTCCCCACCCTCTCTGGGCCTCAGTCTTTCATCCACCATGTGAGGACAAGGCAGTTTTCACTCCCCAGGCTGACGGAATAAAATGCAGGAACTCCAGTGCTTGGCAGCACGCAGGAGACTCTAGAGGGGAGGGAGCTCCCTGACTCACCTCTCCATCCACCTTCATGTACACAGTGGGCACCACCTTCACAAAGTACTGGAACATCATGGAGGCTGAGGGGAAAACAAAGCACTGGGTACGGGTGCCCGGCCGGCCTTCTGTGGCTGGGGGCTGCCTCCCGGGCTGGTACCTTGGGGTGCAGTGACATTGGTGTGGTCCAGGGGGTTCACAATGCCTGGATAGTCCTCCCCAAATGACAGGTGCTGGATGTAGTGGGTCATGTTGATCTGCAAACAACACCATCCAGAGCTCATCCAAAGCTCTGATGACAGTAGCAGACAGGGACACCTGGGTCTGTCTGTGGAGATGTGGGAGAAAGGGGAGGCTATGGCCCTAAGGGGACAACATCCCTGGGACAGGTATCCCCGACTCCTCACCTAGAAACTCCTCTTTCCACAGCCTGCAAACTCCTGGGGTTCCAGAATTTTTTTTTTTTTTTTTTTTTTTGAGACAAAGTCTTACTCTGTTGCCCAGGCTGGAGAGCAGTGGCGTGATCTGGGCTCACTGCCTCTGCCTCCTGGGTTCAAGCAATTCTCTTGCCTCAGCCTCCTGAGTAGCTGTTACAGGCCCAGCTAATCTTTGTATTTTTAGTAGAGATGGGGTTTCACCAAGTTGACCAGGCTGGTCTCGAACTCCCGACCTCAGGTGATCCGCCTGCCTCAGACTCCCAAAGTGCTGGGATTATAGGCATGAGCCACCATGGCTGGCCAGGTTTCAGATTTCTTAAAATACCAGCTTCACTCATACGTTAGGGACACACAGAGTGGCAGGTGCTTGGAGGTCCAGGCTATGGAGGCTGAGGCTGGAGGCTGTGAGCCCCCAGATGCACTCCCTTCTTGCTCCCCTGTGTATCCAACTCAGTCACTGGAAGGATCTTTCAGAAAATGCAAGTCTGATGATGTCATGACTCTGCTTAAAGAAGGCCAACAGCTTTCCACTGTTCTCAGGAGAAAGATGTGACTCCTCAGCGTGGCCTCTGAGTCCTGTGTGGTCTGGTCCCTGCTGACTTCTCCAGCCTCACCCATCCACACCTGCCCTGCAGTTCCTTAGAAGGGCCACGATCCCACCTGACCTTGTGCTGAGGTCTGTCTGTCTAGCATGCTCTTATCCAACCCCAACCTTGCCCCTAGCCTGCTCAGAGCTCAGTTCAAAAGTCACTCTCACTTAACCCTCAGGCTGGATCCCCATTCAGAACATGGTGTATTTTTCTATAAGCACTCCCTGATCCCAGGATGTTCCTACAAGGAAATGAAGGCAGCAACCAAGCCTCCCACCCCCACCTGCCCTCCATGGTTTCCATCTGGTACGTACGTTGTCAAGGCCAAAGCTCTGCAAGTCATGGACTAGGAGAGAAGGGAGAAGGTGTCATTAGTAGGAGCAGCATTGGCCTCCTCACTCCTCCCTCTAGACTGCAAACCACCTGTCTTCTCTGACCCCTCACTCCCTCTCCAGCCTGGCCCCTCCTGGTCCTGCTTAAGGACGGCCGGAAAGGGCAAGCCTTGGGCCTGTGTGAGAGTTCATGCCCTCCTCAGGAGTCATAAGAACAGACCCTGGTTCCTCCCTGACATCCACAGGGAACTCTAGGCCTTCACTCCCAGCATGGCCCTGCCTGCATCTCCAAAAACAAAACCCACTGACTATGGGCTCTCACTAACTGGAGCTGATGGCAAATCACTGAACCTCAAAGTGAGGTGGGACCCGAGAATGCTATCCACGTGTTCCCTGCCTCCACCCTCAAAGGTCCCCAGAGGAAATCCCATGGGGACCCTGTACCAACTGTTCCAGAACAAGTTACTCCTGCCCTCTAGCCTCAATCCCTCCTGCTGCAAGGAACCATACTTCAAAGATACATCCCAGTCCTTTTTATAGTCACCCAGCAACCAGGTCAGAGAAGACCCAATCACAGACCCATCCAACCTCCCCGCATCCCGGTAGGGCAGGCTGCCCCAGAAGTGGGGGCTTGGCCTCCCTGGGGGGCGGGGCCACTTACTCTCCACAGCATGTACTGCAGCATGGGGGAGGGAGGAGAGAGAAGACAGATTCAGAGCTTCACAATAAGAACTATGGAGCAAGACATGTGGCAGGAAGCAAGACAGGCACATTCTGCCTCAGCAACACAGTCTGGCCCCAGCTAACAAGCCTCCACCTGGGCCCCTCCTCGAGAGTGAACTAATCTGGCCAGAGAGGAGCAGGAGACAGAGTGGCCTAGGAAAGACAAGAGGCCTAGAGCCCAAGGAGACAAGTTCCTGACTGTATGGCCTTGGGCAAATCACCTGCCCTTTCTGGGCCTCAGTGTTCTCCTTTGCAAAGGGCTGTCCTAAGGATCAGGTGGGATCTAAGATGGAAAAATACTTGTAAACTTTACACTGTAAGAGATTACCCACCCGGGCCCCAATCAACAAGGATATTAGAAACTCACTCCCAGGCCTCAATTCAGCCAGATCTCTGGCCTTAGGCAAGTGTAGCTTTGTGTTTATACATCCTTCCAGGTACAGAGCACCCCTGGCCCTGGGATCCACAAGTCTAACAGTCCCAGGCCGAGAGGCTGCCATTCTGGCTCTGTGTCCTACCGAGTGCCTGCCAGGCCTTGTGCCAACAGCTTGACACTGATCATCTTCCTATCATCCCAGCAAGACCCTTTTCTCCCAGCTTCCTCCAAAGTGAAGAGGGGGTTCCAGAGCTCTACAGGGTCCTCCAGCACCCACCCCCACAGACTGCCCTGAAGACCAGCAGAGCTACCCTCCTGTTCACCTCAACCACTTTGAGAGGCCATCTTCACAGCCTGGGCTCTGTCACCACGCGGCTCTGTCCAAGCTTTACTGTGACCCCAACTCCCACCTTCCCCAGCCCTGCCTTCAACCCCTGGGTTCCTCTTCACTTTCTTGCTTCAGCCTGGCTCTTCCTTCCAGGCACTAACTCCCTGGCATCCCCTCAATGTGCGACTGTCTTCTCTCCATACACAACCTCCTCCCTGGCCTAAAGAGAAGTCTTTCTTCCTCCTTACTGCCACTTCCAGATCACTTTCCCTTCATCTGCCTTAAAAATGCAAAATGGCTCACATCTCTAATCCCAACACTTTGGGAGGCCAAGCAGGAAGATCACGTGAGCCCAGGAGCCTGGGCAACATGGCAAGACCTTGTCTCTGTGAAAAAAAAAAAGGAAAAATGAGCCAAGCATGGTGGCATGTGCCTGTGGTCTCAGCTCCTTGGGAGGCTGAGGTGGGAGGATCTCTTGAGTCCAGGAGGTCAAGGCTACAGTGAGCCAAGATCACACCATGGCATTCCAGTCTTAAAAAAAAAAGTCCCCAGCTTTGAAGCTCATGACAAAGCAGCCCTGCTTGTTTCAGTCACCTAGATATCTACATGGAGCCTCCAGGACTGTTCTCCCCTGCCATTTTTCAACAGCTTGGGCAACTGCCTGCCACTCTCTCCTGTACTACCTCTGTCAGTTTCTAGTGATTTCCGTATCCACGTAGATGATCCTTCTAGTACCCTGGCCTCCCAGTTCCTGGACATCCTTTCCTTCCTGATCTTGTGCTCTGCCTACCTGAGCCACTTGATCTGTTGGCCATTCCCTAAGCTTTGTCATTAACAAAGCCCCTTCCGTGACTTCACTTTCAAGCAACTCATGTTCCACTAGCTTTCTAATTTCCTCCAGTCCGCCAATTCTGATAACTTGTTGACACCACACTCAGGACTTGCAGTCCCTTGTTCCTCCTGCCCCTCACTGGCTTCCCCACATCCTGTCTTTCCTCCTTTCCTAACTTATAGGCTGTGGTCCAGAATCAGGATGACTTCTTTACATATTTGACTCCCTCACCATTGCAGGCACCTGGCAACCAAACGCAAGGCGATTCCAACGTTCTGTCTACTGAGTCCATTCCCACACAGATGACCACGCTGACTGCTCTCTTTCCATTCACAGCCGCAGACTCCAGGGAGACCCTAGTGCTGCGTCAATCTTTTTTTTTTTTTTTTTTTTTTTTTTTTGAGACAGGAGTCCCGCTCTGTCGCCCAGGCTGGAGTGCAGTGGCCGGATCTCAGCTCACTGCAAGCTCCGCCTCCCGGGTTCACGCCATTCTCCTGCCTCAGCCTCCCGAGTAGCTGGGACTACAGGCGCCCGCCACCTCGCCCAGCTAGTTTTTTGTATTTTTTAGTAGAGACGGGGTTTCACTGTGTTAGCCAGGATGGTCTCGATCTCCTGACCTCGTGATCCGCCCGTCTCGGCCTCCCAAAGTGCTGGGATTACAGGCTTGAGCCACCGCGCCCGGCCAGCTGCGTCAATCTTACTCAGTCTCCCCAGTCCACGCATTCTCCCACCCCCAAACGACCAGTCACACCTTTTCTTTCAAATTTCCAATACCTCCTTCCCTCTCTTCTCATTCTCAACTGAGGACCTTCCTTCCTACAACACAGAGAAGACAGGAGGACTCAGAAGAGACTCTCCATGTACTTTTGCCACCCCAGCTACCACCCTACCTGGACCTACAGAGCCTGCCTTTCCTCCTATTGCTAAGTTTGGCCTTTCCACATGTGTAAGGCACCAGATTCTGTCTTCTTTCTCCAGGACTTCACTCGGGTCATTGTTTGTCTCGTCTCTAGAGCATCACTTATGGTCTCTTTAGTCAGTAATTTCCAACGGCATATTAACATTTTGCTACATCACTGTCCTTAGAAAAGCCTCCCTCGACTCCACATTTCCCTCCAGCTTCAGTTCATGCTCTCTCCTCCCCTAAGCAGATTCCACTATAGAACTGTCAGTACTCACTGGCTCCAACTCCTCTCCCATTCCCTCCTGGACCCACTCGAGGGTGGTCCTATCACACCCCTCCAATGACTCAGGCAAGGCTATAATAAATGACTGTTACATTGTATATCCCATGGTCAATTCCTGCTAGACATCCAGAAGCATCTGATGCGGTATCTGAAACACCTGTCAGAGTGCGGCATCCTGCCACATCCTGCCTGGCTTACACTCCTCCTCCACCAAGGTTTCTTACTGGTCTCCCCTGTCAGTTCCCCCAACACCTTTAGCCTCTACTGTGGGAGGCCTGGCACCCAGCCCTTTGAGCTCCCCTCTTTTCCATCTACCCTCCCCTCCAGGGTGATTTCATCCAGTCCCATGGCTGGATGATGCCAACATTTGCATCTCCAGGCAAGTCCTCTCCCTGAACTCCAGGCTTGAATGGAAAACTACTTACTTGACACCTTGTGTGTCTAGAAGGACACCTAGACGCTAGTGGTCTGAACGCGTCAAAAGCCGAATACCAGCTGTAAGATCCCATTTCCGAACATCTAAACCTGCCTTGAGTCTTCCTCATCTTGTTAAATGGCAACTCCATCCTTTTCTTTTCTTTTTTTTTTTTAATGGAGATGGAATCTTGCTCTGTCACCCAAGCTGGAGTGAAATGGCATCATCTCAGCTCACTGCAACATCCGCCTCCCAGGTTCAAGCAATTCTCCTACCTCAGCCTCCTGAGTAGCTGGGACTACAGGCGCACACTACCACACCCGGCTGATTTTTTGTATTTTTAGGAGACAGGGTTTCACCATGTTGGTCAGGCTGGTCTCTAACTCCTGAGCTCAGGCAATCCACCTGCCTCGGCTTCCCAAAGTGCTAGGATTATAGGCAACTCCATCCTTCTTACTACTCAGGTACAAAACTTTGAAGGTATCCCTGACTCCTTTTTCCTTTGTCCCTAATGCCCATCAGGAACTCTTCTCAGCTCTACCTTCAAAATACATCCAGAAGCCAGTCACTTCCCACCACTTCCACTGCCACTCTGGGCTGAGCCCCACCATCTTTTGCCTGGATTGATCACTGCAAGAGCCTCCTAAAGGGACTCTCTACTTCCGTCCTTTCCCCTGTCCAGTCTTGTCCACAGAGCAGCTGGAGAGCCGCTTACCTTTTAAGTTAAGTTGGATCATCCCTCACCTTCTTCAAAGCCCTACAATGGCTTCTCATCTTATGCAGAGTAAAGGCCTGAGTCCCTACAATGCCCCCGCAAGCCCTGCATGATATGGCCCTGTGACCCCTCTCACTTTTTTTTTTTTGAGACGGAGTCTTGCTCTGTTACCCAGGCTGGAGTGCAATGGCACGATCTCAGCTCACTGTAACTTCCACCTCCCAGGTTCAAGAAATTCTCATGCCTCAGCCTCCTGAGTAGCTGGGTTTATAGGTGTGCGCCACCACACCCAGCTAATTTTTGTATTGTTAGTAGAGACAGGGTTTCACCATGTTGGCCAGGCTGGTCTTGCACTCCTGACCTCAGGTGACCCACACGCCTCGGCCTCCCAAAGTGCTGGGATTACAGGTGTGGGTGACTGCACCCGGCCTCTCTCACTTCATTTCTAAGCATGCTCCTCTGCTCCAGCCACCCTGACCTTCTTACTATATCTTGAACTTGCCAAGCACATTCTAGCCTCAGGAATTTGCATTTACTGTTATCTCTGCTTGTAACACTTCCTCCCCAGACATCCATATGGCTGGCTCCCTCACTGTCTTCAGGTCTTTGCTCAAATATTACCTCATCAAGGAGTCTTTCCCTGACCTCCATATTTAAAATAGGACCCTCCCTGCCCTACCCTAGCCCCTCCCCACCCTACCCTAGCCCCTCCCCACTACCATCTTTATCCTGCCTTGTTTTGGTCCACATGACTTAACAGCATCTGATAATACCATACACAGATGCTTCCTGACCTACACTGGGGTTAGGTCCCAATAAACTCATTGTAAGTTGGCCAGGTGCAGTGGCTCATGCCTGTAATCCCAGCACTTTGGGAGGCCGAGGTGGGCGGATCACTTGAGGTCAGGAGTTCAAGACCAGCCTGGCCAACGTAATGAAACCCCATCTCTATTAAAAATACAAAAGTTAGCTGGGCGTGGTGGCACGCACCTGTAGACCCAGCTACTCAGGAGGCTGAGGCAGGAGAATCATTTGAACCTGGGAGATGGAGGTTGCAGTGAGTCAAGATCATGCCACTGCACTCCAGCCTGGGCGACAGAGTGAGACTCAAAAAAAAAAAAAAAAAGAAAAAGAAAATATCGTTAAGTGAAAAATGCATGTAATACCCATCATAAAGTAAAAAATTACAAGATGAATCATTTTTAATTGGGGACTATTTATATTTTATATACTTATTGTCTACTTCTTTACTAGAATGTTCTGAGGGCACAGACTCTGTTCACTACTATACCCTTAGCAACTAGACTAGTAGGTGATTACTAAATATTTTGTGAATGCCTGAATGAACAAATGAATGAGAATAAATCTCATTTGTTCACCCCAGCAGCCCTATGAGTGGTTACTATTATCATCATCCCCATTTTGCAGAAGAAGCACCTGAATAGGGCTCAGTATTTCCCAAATATGACATAGCTCAGGAGTGGCAGAACCTGTGCTCCAACCTAGCTCTGCTTCTCCCAAAGCCTCATGCACAGGTCATTGTCGGACACTGGCGGCTACCATCTCAACAAGCACCTACCACAAGCCAGGCTCCGTCCTATCATCTTTAACCTGCACACACACCCTGTGAGATAAGTGCCCTCATCACCATTTTATAAAGTAGAAAACAGGAATCAAAAAGATGAAGAAACCTTCTCAAAGTCACACAGCCAATAAGGTCTGAAACTGGTATCTGAATGCAGGCAGTCTGGCTCCTCGGCCTGTGCTCTTAGCCACTGTGCCAAACTGCTGCTGAGATGGCCTGCTCTGGCCAAATGGTTGCCAAAGACAAATGAGCAGCAGGCAGGAGAGGACCACTCAAACTCACCAAGAAGGTAGCCAGCATCTAAATCTCTCCAGCAGGGGCAGATCACTCACCGTGCACATGGGACTGCTGGAAGCTCTTCCCAGGGGCAAAGTGGAAGTTTCCGGCCACCTGTAAGGAACATTCTCTCTCATTCTCTGGCTGTGTCCTCCTTTTGCCTACTCAGGGCCTGAGTGGGCCCTCGGTTCCCAGTGGAGCTTGCCCAGCCCAGCTGGCCCTATCTTGCCTTGATCCCTCCTGATACCTTATTGACCTCCAAGAAGCCGTACACCTGGCAGCCTTCATTCTTCTGCTCCTGCATCTTCTGGCTGAAGCCCTCTCGCCGGCACTGCTCAATAGTATCTGGGTTCTTGAAGGCCCAGCCTCGACGGCGATATGCCTCCCGCACATCTTCACAGGTGTTACAGCACCTGTAGGGCAGGGAGTGACGGTGAGAGTGTCAAAGAGGCACAAGTCCAGTGCTGGCATCTGGGGAAATAGAGCCCGAGCAGCTCTGCCTGCTAATGAAGGCTCTGCTAGACTCATCCCTGACCACCAAACGTTCTCCAAATGTGTTTCCTCAGTGGCAGAAGGACTGTTTTCTTTTTTTAATTTTTAAAATTTTCTGTAGAGATAGGGTCTTGCTGTGTTGCCCAGGCTGGTCTCAAACTCCTGAGCTCAAGTGATTCACCTACCTCGGCCTCCCAAAGTGCTAGGGGTTACAGGTGTGAGCCATTGTGCCCAGAGTAGGACTGTGAAAAATATATATTCCCATTGTTTGGGGTGATGACAAGTTTTAGGACAGACAGTGGTGACTGGATGACACTGTGAAGATACCTAATGCCACTGAGTTGCACACTTAAAAATGGTTAAAATGGTATATTTTGTGTCACATATTTTTCCACAACCAAAAAAGATGGAAGTACATATTCCCAGGCCCCACTCCAGACCTGCTGAATCAGTCTTGTGGAAGTCAGGGCCTGGGAAACACAGCAGTAGTTATCAGATACTGAGGGTCTGATAATCTGGGCCGGACCTTCCACCTCAGTGATTTACACACAGTATACAGCTAATCCATATGTGACTCTTACAAGAAGATGTTATTATCATCCCTCTTCACATAGAGAGGTTACATGGCTTGGCCCAACGAAACAGGGGAAGAACCCAGGCAGCCGGACTCCAGAGACCACCTGTGAACCGTTTCTCTAGGCAGAAGAGCAGAGACCACTTCAGCTTCATCTCTAGGTCTGCAGCTCCCAGGTGGGGACTGGTCACAAAGCCTCAGTCACCTGCACCAGGATCAATGACAGAGGCACATACCCGCCCACTCTAGATTCTTGGTCTGACCTCCCCAACTGCCAGTCTGACTGAGGCTAAGGCTGACTGACACACGGCACCTGATGGAAACCCTGCTCCCACTCCCCCTGGCTCACTTGATATCTTCTGCTTCAGCACCATAGCAGCTCTCACAGCGATCAGGGTCCAGGGAGTCAGGGTCAAACACCGTCACCTCGACTTTCCCAAGCTCTAAGGGGAGGGGAGAAGCAGAGGCATCAGCTGGGGCCAGACACAGTGAAATTGGTGGCCCCAGTCCATGCACAAGCTCTTTGGCCAGCGGCCTGGGGATAAATAAAAGTTATAATAATAACTAATATTCATGTAGTACATGCTACGGGTCAGGCACTAAGTACTTCTACATACTTATCAATTCTTTTAATAAAAGAAACAGTAAGAAAACAGTTAACAGTAAATACTGAACATTAGCTGGGTACAGATCACTGTACTTCACAACCATCGTCTCATTTCATCCCCACAATGACTCTTTGAGGGTGGGGGTAATTATCCCTGTTTTATTGAGAAGATGCTGAGGCTCACTGATGAGAAGTGACTTTGCCCAATGCAACTGAGGAAACGGATTTCAGCTAATTCCAACATGTATGCCACTAACCTCCTTGCCATGATGCTTCTCCTCAGACCTCTCCCTCTGCACCGGCTCCTTGCCTCACTCTAGTCACCCCATCATAACTGGTGATTTCAATACTGAATACTGACCTCCCAACTCATGAGAATCTTGATTTTGCCATCTCACCTTGGCTACCCATTTCCATAATCATACCTAGATCCTGTCATTGCCAATAACTGCAAACCTTCCCAAATTCAACTTCAAGTGTCTGAGTCTTCAACTACTTACCCTTATTTTCCCAGTTCACTATTTAGTACCTGAAATCCACCAATTCTTTGACACTACTGACACTATCATGTCCTCACTTCCCTCCTTAAATCCCATGGTCCACTGTAATTATTCTCTTGCACATAACCACAACTCCCTGTTCCTCTCATCTTTCGTTTTACAAATCCAGCAAAACCCAAACCCTGGTTCCATTCAACTCTCTATACCTACTTCTTGCCTGAAACTCCCTTAGGACTGCCTGGCAATTCCACTTCATTCCTCTAATCGGTTCACTCTCCCATTCTCTAAGGTGACTTAGACCTTCTCCTCTCTCCTTAGACTCCCAAAACCTTCCCTTCTTCACTTAGCTAATGTCCTTGCTTTCAATTTCCACTACGAAAAGAGAAGCAACAGAACTTCACTTGCTCTCACCACCAAACCCACCATCTTACCACTTTCTCCTTTAAAACCCCGCCCCATTTCTCAGCTCTCCCTTACAGTGAAACTCCAAAAGTCATCTATAGGTAATGTCTCCACTTCCTTTATTGCTCTTTGATCAGATTCTCATCCTCAACAGTATCAAAATTGTTCCTTTCAAAGTCTCCAGGAATCTCTGTGTTGTCAATTTCAATGGTCAATTCTCACTCCTCGTTTTACTGGACTATCAGTAGCTTCTGATACAACTGCTCACTCTCTTCTTGAAACTCTCTCCACCTGGCTTTTGGGACACCTCTTGGTTCATCTATGTCAATGGCTAATCTGTCTCAATCTTCCTTCCTGTCCTGACTTTAAATAATTAGAGATGCCCAGGGTACAGGCCCTAGACCTCTCCTCTACCTACATTTACTCCCTAGTTTCCTCACTTAGTCCAATTGTTTAAACTACCCTCTACCTACTGATAACTCCTCTAAATTCTAGACTGGTACATCTAATTGCCTCTTAATATCACCAGAGTATAAAATAGGAACCCCAAATTTACCCAAACCTAAGATTCCTCTTTCCCCCAAATCCTGACCTTACTCTGTGGAAACTAGTTTCCAAGATGACTTCAATGATCCCCACTTCCTAGTATTCACACCCTTATGTAGTCCTCTCCCACAACAGGCTGACCTGTGTAACCACTAGTTTATTGCAGAAATGATGGTATACAACTTCTGAGGTTAGGTCATAAAAAAGGTTACAGTTTTTTTTGTTGTTGTTGAGATGGAGTTTCACTCTTGTTGCCCAGGCTTGAGTGCAGTGGCGCAATCTCGGCTCACTGCAACCTCCACCTCTCAGGTTCAAGCAATTCTCCTGCCTCAGCTCCCGAGTAGCTGGAATTACAGTTGCCTGCCACCATGCCCGGCTTTTTTTTTTTTTTTTTTTTTTTTGTATTTTTAGTAGCGATGGGATTTTACCATGGTGGCCAGACTGGTCTCGAACTCCTGACTTCAGGTGATCCAACTGCCTCAGCCTCCAAAAGTGTTAGGACTACAAGGAGTGAGCCACCATGCCTGGCCGAAGGTTATGGTTTCTACTTTGTTCTCTTTCAGCTCACTTACAAGATCCAAGTGGGGGAAGCCAGTTGCCATGATGTAAGGACACACAAGCAGCCCTACTGAGAGGTCCATGTGGTGAGGCACTGCGACATCTGGCCAACAGCCCTATGAGTGAGCCCTTTAAAAGTAGATCCCCGGCTGGGCATGGTGGCTCATGCCTGTAATCCCAGCACTCTGGGAGGCCAAGGCAGGTGGATCACCTGAGGTCAGGAGTTTGAGACCAGCCTGGCCACCATGGCGAAACCCTGTTTCTACTAAAAATACAAAAATTGGCTGAGTGTGTTGGCTGGCGCCTGTAATCCCAGCTACTCGGAAGGCTGAGGCAGGAGAATCACCTGAAGCCGGGAGGCAGAGGTTGCAGTGAGCTGAGATCGCACCATGGCACTCCAGCCTGGGCGACAAAGTGAGGCTCTCAAAAAAAAAAAAAAAAAAAGTAGATCCCTGCATGCCACCCGCCCTTCTGCCACAGCTGTCATTGGAGAGCAGCAGCCATGGCTCTGTGCTACCCGCTATGGCTGTGTGCCTCGACAAGGGCCACAAGATGACCAAGAATATGAGCAAGCCAAGGCACAGCCGCCGCCGTGGGCACCTGACCAAACACACCAAATTCATGTGGGACATGATCCAAGAGGTGTGTGGTTTTGCCCCGTATAAGCAGCACGCCATGGAGTTACTGAAGGTCTCCAACGATAAACGGGCCCTCAAGTTCATCAAGAAAAGAGTGGGGCACACATACGCGCCAAGAGGAGGGAGGAGGAGCTGAGCAACGTCCCGGCCATCATGAGGAAAGCTGCTGCCAAGAGAGACTGAACCCCCTGCCCCGCCCTCTCTCTGAAATAAAGAACAGCTTGACAGAAAAAAAAAAAATTTAAACAACAAATAAGTAGGCCAGGCGCGATGGCTCACGCCTGTAATCCCAACACTTTGGGAAGCTGAGGCGGACAGATCACGAGGTCAAGAGATCAAGACCATCCTGCCTAACAAGGTGCAACCCCATCTCTACTGAAAATACAAAAAATTAGCTGGGCGTGGTGGCACACGCCGGTTATCCCAAATACTCAGGAGGCTGAGGCAGGAGAATCACTGGAACCTGGGAGGCAGAAGTTGCAGTGAGCCAAGATCGTGCCACTGCACTCCAGCCTGGGTGACAGAGTGAGACTCTGTCTCGAGATAGATAGATAGATAAAGTAGATCCTGCAGTTCCCCATCAATCCTTAGATGACTGCAACCTCAGGAGATACCCTAAACCCAAATCACCCAAACAAGCCACTCCTAAATTCCTGACCCAGGGAAACTGAAAAAACAAATTTTTATTGTATCAAACTACTAACTTTTGGAGTACTTTGTTACACAGTAGTGGATATCTAATAGCCACTCCCCTCTCCCACCAAAAAAACCTTCTCCTCCAGTCATCTCCATCTCAAGTCATTCATTTGCTCAGGCTGAAAGCGTTGGAATCCACAACCATGATTTTGCTCTCTTACACTCCACATCCAATCCTATAGCAAATTATGTTGGTTCCACTGGTGTCCTGTATTTATCTGCTGAAACAACAAATGATAAAACTCCCCACCAGAGTAATCTCTAAGGTGTTAGAAATCCCAGCTTTGAGGACGGTTTTGCTGTGGTGGGAAACTGAGTTAACGGAGGCAGGAAAGGAAGGTAAAAGTGGGTCCCCACTCTGTAACCAGGCATTTTACACATATTACTTCATTTGGTCTTACAATTCCATGTGGTTGCTACTACTGTTTTATCACCACTTTCTAGCTGAAGCTCACAGACTGCAGGAGACAAAGTTAGATGTGAACCCAGGCAATGTGACTTGAGAACCTCAATTCTAATCTTAAACCGCCTGCATTCCAAAGGGGAAGGACATTAAGGGCTGAATTCAGCCGATGGGCTGGGAAAGCAAACACTCAGAGAAGCCTGGGTCCATCTAGACAGTTCTACCAAGGTAAGAGCACATAAGACCTATCTTCAGACCTCTCGTATTCAAACTACCATGTGCAGGTATTGAGGACCTCTGAGAATAGCAGCCAGGTAGATTACCCGACTCAATATGTATAGAGGATTTTAGCTCACTCTGACTCTTACTAAGCTGGGGGACCCTAGGCAAGTCACTTGACTTCTCTAGGTCTTAGTTGTTTAATATATCACTATGCCTGCCACAGTCCACTTGCCAGCATGTAGGCTTGGGAACGTCCAGCTTTGGGATCTGAGACCCAGCCCCTTCCTCTGGTTACCATGCCGCTCAGCCTCTGAGCTCACGGGGATGCCATCTTTGTCTAGTCGTTGCTTGAACAGGTTGTGTTCCACATCCAGCTGCTGTTCCCCAGCCACATCCATGGCATCAATACTCAGATCTGGAAGCAGTAAAGTCAGGCTAAGGTACTGGGACCCTAGGGACAAGGGGATGTGGGTTTTGGAGGGGAAGGGGATACTGGGCCTGTCCTGGGGCAGAACGGGATTAGGAGAAGGAGGTTGTCCTGGGGTCCAGTCCAGAACCTAAGGGTGGAGGTGTGAATCTGGCAGCCCACATGAGAACCCTGGGTCTCTCCACTTCCATCCATGGTGAGGTACTCACAGGCACAAGGCATGTGCGGAAAAAGTACATCAATGTTGATCTTCAGTTTATCTCCCCGCGACTTGTCCACGTAGAGCTCAGGATGCACCTGGGGCAGCGATGCCTCAGTAAGACTTGGCCCCAAACCTCTCCTTCCCCACTCCCACCCCTAAAGGTCCTACCCTTAGAATGCCAAGCCCCGCCCACGCACTAAGCCCCGCCCCTTACCTCCGTGGTGAGGTAATACTGCAGCTCGGACAGGAACAGTAGCAGCATGAGAAGGCCACTGACAATGGTCACTGCAGGACAAGGGGCGAGGTTCAGAATGGCCTCGAATCCGCTCCCTTAGACACCGGCAGGCCAGTCAGAGTCCAGGAGCCCGGGTCAAGCTCTAGGACGCCCCCCTCCCCGCGACCCCGGCCTCGCCGCGGCCTACCCGTGGCGCCCCCGCAGGTCTTGACCCGGAAGTCCTCCAAAGTCTTGGGGTAGGCATCGAACTGCTTCAGCTTCCCCAGCGCCTCCATGGGGACCGGCCGGAAAGGGGACGCCAGCCGGCCCGCCCCTACAGATTCTCTCTTCCGGCCTGGAGCCACGCCCCCTCTTTTTCCTCACGCAGGCGCAGCAGGCCGCACCCTTGGCCCCACCTTTAGCCGCGTTCTCTTACCGGCGGCCCCGCCCACCAATGCTGTCACGCCCCCTTGCGCGGGCAATTGGGTCTGGACGCTACTGCCCGGGCCTCCGCTGTTCGGGGTGGGTCTTCTGAGGACCGGGGTGCGAGGAGTTCTCTGCGGGGTTAGAAACGCCAATAGCACCGTTCGTGTGCCTTGTGCTCGGAACTGCGCCAAGTGTTTCAGACTCTTGGAACATCTTGAAATACACTGGAACAGTAGTTTTTCGAGTGTACCGGTCCGGCCGCATCATTATCAACTGATTACCTATTAGAAATATAAATAATTGATTCCCACCTACTGAAGCCGAAACGCTAGGAATGGCACCCAGGTGATTCTGATGTAAAGTAAGGATGTCCGCTCTGAAAGCAGGTGTGACTTATCTCCGTTTTCCAAAGAGCAAACTGTGACCTGGAGAAGTTAAAAAACTTGCCCAAGATCACAGCCAATTAATAGCAGGACCTGCTTCCAGCCCAGTTCTTCTGGACCTCAGAGTACTCTGGGAACCAGGGTCTTCTGGGGTGATTTTACCTAAACAGCGTCCCAGTGCTTCTCCTGAGCGCTGCTTTCTGAATATTACCCTAAATTGCTCTCCAGGCCCTGGGATCCTCACGGACACACTCTGCCACTCCAGGTTTAGACTCAAGTGATGTGGAGCTTAAGCTGTCCCTAACAATTCCCATTGCAGCGCAGTGTCTCTAGAGGGACAGCTCCCACAGTAATGCAGCTGCAATGAGTAAGATATAAAAGCTCATAGGCTTTCATACAGGAATTCCACTTTAGGAAGTAAAAGCACCATGTCAAGGTTAATAGAAAACATTTAAAAAAGAAAACATAAGCAGCTATCCAAGATTAATAGAAAAAAAATTTTAATAAAAATAAGGATAAAAGTACCATGATCTGGGTGGTTGTTACACCTTAGGATACTGAATCTTTCTCTTAACGATTTTAAGTGCACCACGTCATGAAGATGTATGCATCAGATTGTTCAATAGCAAAAATCTGGAACCAGCCAGAATGCCCATTGATACATTAAATAAACTGAATAAATCATGGTACACCCATTCTGTGGACTATTAGGCCACCTTTCAAAATAATGAAGTAGATTTACTTCTTTAGGTATACTAAGAATATTTTTAAGGGGGAAAAGATGCAAAGTAATGTGCATTCTATCATTCCATTTTTTAATTTAAAAATTAGGCTGGGCACAATGGATCACACCTGTAATCACAGCACGTTGGGAGGCCGAGGAGGATCACATGAGGTCAGGAGTTTGAGACCAGCCTGGCCAACATGGTGAAACCCCCTCTCTACTAAAAATACAAAAATTAGTCGGGCGTGGTGGTGTGCTCCTGTAAACCCAGCTACTCGAGAGTCTGAGGCAGGAGAATCGCTTGAACCTGGGAGGCGGAGGTTGCAGTGAGCCGAGATCCTGCCACTGCATTCCAGCCTGGGCAACAGAGTGAGATCTGTCTCCAAAAATAAAAATAAAAAAATTAGCCAGGTGTGGTGGCATGCGTCGATAGTCTCAGTTACCTGGGAGGCTGAGACAGAAGGATGGCTTGAACCCAAAGAGTTTGAAACTGCCGTTGTTACCAGGTTACCTGCAGTTGTTACCAGGATAGAGTTGTCCAGGTTCTTGGCGTGTTGAACAAAACGCATAAAGTAACAGAAGGGCAACGAAAGACAAACAGCAACAGAAAAACGGAATAACAAAAGCATAGACTTATTGAAGACAATTCAGAACCGCAGCTGGTTAGAGCAAGCGGCTCAAGAGCCTCCTCAATCAGGGTTTGCATTAAGCTAAAGGGACCCGGCAACACCCCAGGTGCCCTTTAGAGGCCTCCAATTGGCTACACTCTATGAAGGATTGGCCTGCGACCAAATCAGAGGCTGAAATGGAGACTTGACCCACAGCCAATCAGAGGCTGAAGTGGAGATTTGGCCCCACGGTCAACCAGAGGCTGAAGTGGAAACTTCTGTCTTGTTATCATAGGCGTGAAGATGTGGCCTGTATGCTGCCTAGAACTGGCTGCACCCATTCATTTGCTTATCTCTTAACCCCCGGTTACCTTGATTCCCTATTCTCCTGCCTCATAGTGAGCTATGATCACACCACTGCACTCCAACCTGGGCGACAGAGCGAGACCTTCTCTCTCTGTGTGTATGTGTGTGTGTATATATAAACTGTTATATATATTATATATAGTTATATGTAAATTATTATATATAAATATATATCTATAACAATCTTAATCTTGTATGGGGAAATATGTATTTATATAATCATGAGAAAAGATTTGGAAGGACTCATGCTACACCTTTTGGGACAACTGGAGGAGGACTTTTCAAGGAAGCCAAAATTTTTGGGTTTCCCTAAGCTAACAGGGCGGCAGAGGACACCTGGGATCCCCCTCTATTATCTGGGTTTCAGATTCCTGAGAAGACCAAGAATTCTATCAGAAATAGGTAATAAGGAATCTACTGATGGAATTAAGTCTAAAGCTCTGCTACCCTAAGTGTGATCCCTGGACCACAAACATTGGCCTTATCTGGGAATCTGTCAGAAATGCAGAATCTCAGGCCTCACCCCAAACCTGTAGAATCAGAATCTGCATTCTAACAAGACTCTCCAGATAATTAGCATGCACATTAAAGTGTGAGAAGTACTTTCCTGAAAGGTTCCTTGTTTTATTGCCCACATGGGACCAAAACCAGCAGCACTGGAAAAAAAAAATGAGTGCCTCAAATGTTGCAGTAAGGCCAGGCACGGTGGCCCATGCCTGCAATCCCAGCACTTTGGGAGGCCAAGGCAGGTGGATCACTTGAGGTCAGGAGTTTCAGACCAGCCTGGCCAACATAGTAAAACCCCATCTCTACCAAAAAATACAAAAACTTAGCTGGGTGTGGTGGCTGATGCCTTTAATCCCAGCTATTCGGGAGGCTGAGGTGGGAGGCAGAGGTTGCAGTGACCCGAGATCATGCCACTGCATTCCAGCCTGGGTGACAGAGTAAGACCCTGTCTCAAAAATAATTTTTAAAAAAGGCCAGGGGTGGTGGCTCACACCTGTAATCCCAGCACTAGGGGAGGCCAAGGAGGCCAGATTACCTGAGGCCAGGAGTTCAAGACCAGCCAGGCCAGAAGACCAGCCTGGCCAATATGGTGAAACCCCATCTCTACTAAAAATACAAAAATTAGCTGGGCATGGTGGCGGGCACCTGTAAACAGAGCGAGACTCTGATTCAAAAAAAAAAAAGAAAGAAAGTTACAGTCCTAATAATGGATATTAACATATCCCTTAATAAAATAATAAAAATAAAAATAACGGCTAATAATACTAATTTTTAAAAATAGCTAGCATTGGCTGGGCGCAGTGGCTCACACCTGTAATTCTAGCACTTTGGGTGTCAGAGGTGGGAGGATCACAAGGTCAGGAGTTCGAGACCAGCCTGGCCAGCATGGTGAAACCTTGTCTATACTAAAAATACAAAAAATTAGCCAGGCATGGTGGTGCACGCTTGCAGTCCCAGCTACTTGGGAGGCTGAGGCAGGAGAATGGCTTGAACCCGGCAGGCAGAGGTTGCAGTTAGCCAAGATCGCGTCACTGCACTCCAGCCTGGGTGACAGAGTGAGACTCCATCTCAAAAAAAAAAAAAAAAAAAAAGCTAGCATTTATCAAGCCCCTACTATGTGGCAGATATGGTAGTAAACTTTTTTTTTTTTTTGAGACGGAATCTCATTCTGTCACCCAGGCTGGAGTGCAGTGGTGCAATCTCAGCTCACTGCAACCTCCGCCTCCCCGGTTCAAGCGATTCTCATGTCTCAGCCTCCCGAGTAGTGGGATTACAGGGGTCCGCCACTACACCTGGCTAATTTTTTATATTTTTGGTAGAAATGGGGTTTCACCATGTTGGCCAGGTTGGTCTCGAACTCTGACCTGAAGTGATCTGTCTGCCTTGGCCTCCCAAAGTGCTGGGATTACAGGCATGAGCCACCGCACCTGCCCTGTTGTGAACTCTTTTATCTTCACCTATATCATGTCAGTTCATCTTCACAACAACCTTAGGCCACGCACAGTGGTACACACCTGTAGTTCCAGCTACTTGGGAGACTGAGGCAGGAGAGGGAGGATCACTTGAGCCCAGGAGTTTGAGACCAGCCTGGGCAATATAGCAAGACCCTGTCTCTAAAAACAAAACAACAACAAAAACAACCTTAGACACTAACTGCTATTATCATCCCTGATTAAAATTGAGTGCGGACACTAATAAGATAATATCTAAACTCCCAATTCTGTCTTTATTTCAAAGTTTCATAGCTCAAATCATTCAGTGACTTCAAAGATCAAAAACTTTGATAA